AGGAGGAGTTCGTTAAAATACAACGCCTGAAAATGGCAAAAGCGCCACTTTTTCGCCACAGGAAGTTAAAAATATCCGACTTCCTGTTGGGTTTGAGATATGGCTACAAGAGACTTTTTCGTATGTTTTGTCATGTTTAAGGTGTGTGCCAAGTTTTGTGCATGTGCGTGATTCGTAGATCGGGGGCTCGTCCGTTTAATTTTTCTAGGTGGCGCTGTCGAGTCATTTTGCCACGCCCACTTCAATATTGTTATGTGGATGTGTTCAAGAGATGACGTTTATCAACCATGTGAAGTTTCAGGCAGATCGGACATTGTGTGGTTGTGTTATAAGGCCTTCCTGTTCCATGGCGAAGCGTTGAGGTTTGTCATACCGCCACGGACACACCCCTCTGCGAAAACTCTAGATCTTCACAATATAACATCGCTAGAGCTTTCAGATAACACCACTCAATTTTGGTGTTGATACGATAAAATTTGTGGGAGGAGTTTATAAGTCCGTAAATCATGTCATTTCCTGTGGCCAGCAGGTGGCGCTGTAACTGTATCTGGATATTGGCATGTAAACGTGTTCAGGTCAGGATGCTTATCAAGCGTGTGAATTTTGAGGCAGATCAGATAATGCATGCCTGAGTTATAACGACTTCCTCTTTTGTGGCGAATCATCAAAGTTTGCGAGGCCGCCACGGACACGCCCATCGATGAAAACTCTAAAGCTTCGCAATTTAACATCGGAAAGGCCTTTAGATGACAAAACCCAATTTTGGTGTCGATCGCATAAAATCCCTAGGAGGAGTTCGTTAAAATACAACGCCTGGAAATGGCAAAAATGCCACTTTTTCGCCGCAGGAAGTTAAAAATATCCGACTTCCTGTTGGGTTTGAGATATGGCTCCAAGAGACTTTTTCGTATGTTTTGGTGTGTTTGAGGTGTGTGCCAATTTTCGTGCATGTGCGTGATTCGTGGATCAGGGGCTCGTCCGTTTAATTTTTCTAGGTGGCGCTGTCGAGTCATTTTGCCACGCCCACTTCCGAAGCGCTTAACAAACGTAAATTTTCGCCACTTCTGAGGCGTGTGCAAAGTTGCGTGAGTTTTCGGGCATGTTTAGCCCCTCAAAACCGCGATTCATTCCGCGGAAGAAGAAGAAGAAGAAGAAGAAGAAGAAGAAGAAGAAGAATAATAATTAAAGCTGCAAGCAGCGATGATAGGGACCTCGCACCCGGGCTCACCGCCGCCCGGTGGCCTCAGGATGACAGAGAACAGCGAACAGTAATAATTTAAGCCGATATATTAAAAATATCTGAGAAAATCACAGATTTATGCCAAACTTCCTCCTGTCAGCAGGTGGCGCTATAACTGTGACTCATGATTGGCATGTAGATGTCTTCAGGAGAGGAAACTTATCAACCATGTGAAGTTTTAGGCAGATCGGACATTGTTTGGCTGTGTTATAAGCCAAACTGCCTTTTGTCAGCAGGTGGCGCTATGACAGACTCAATGTTGTTATGTAGATGTGTTCAGGAGGGGACTTTTATCAACCTCGTGAAGTTTCAGGCAGATCGGACTTTGTGTGGTTGAGTTTAACTGCAAACTACCATCTGCCAGCAGGTGGCGCTATAACTGTGACTTAAGATTGGCATGTAGATGTCTTCCGGAGAGGAATCTTATCAACCATGTGAAGTTTCAGGCAGATCAGAGATTGTGTGGAGATTGTGTTTTAAGAAAAACTACATTCTGCCAGCAGGTGGCGCTATGAAATACTCAATATTATTATGAAGATGTGTTTAGGAGAGGACTTTCATCAACCATGTGAAGTTTCAGGCAGATCGGACATTGTGTGGCCGAGTTACAAGCCAAACTACCTTCTGCCAGCAGGTGGCGCTATGACTGACTCAATATTGTTATGTAGATGTGTTCAGGAGAGGACTTTTATCAATCATGTGAAGTTTCAGGCAGATCAGACATTGTGTGGTTGATATATAAGAAATTCCTGTTCCATGGCGAAGCGTTGAGGTTTGTCATGCCGCCACGGACACGCCCCTCTGCAAAAACTGTAGATCTTCACAATATATCATCGCTAGAGCTTTCAGATGACACCACTCTATTTTGGTGCTGATACGGGAAAGTTTGTGGGAGGAGATTGTTACAGTGTCAAACATGTCATTTCCTGTGGCCAGCAGGTGGCGCTATAACTGTAACTGGATATTGGCATGTAAACCTGATCAGGTCAGGACTCTTATTAAATGTGTGAATTTTGAGGCAGATCTGATAATGCATGCCTGAGTTATAATGACTTCCTGTTTTGTGGCGAATGGTCAAAGTTTGCGAGGCCGCCACGGACACGCCCATCGATGAAAACTCTAAAGCTTCGCAATTTGACATCACCAAGGCCTTTAGATGACAAAACCCAATTTTGGTGTTTATCAGATAAAATCCCTAGGAGGAGTTCGTTAAAATACAACGCCTGAAAATGGCAAAAGCGCCACTTTTTTGCCACAGGAAGTTAAAAATATCCGATTTCCTGTTGGGTTTGAGATATGGCTCCAAGAGACTTTTTCGTATGTTTTGGCATGTTTGAGGTGTGTGCCAATTTTTGTGCATGTGCGTGATTCGTAGAGCGGGGGCTCGTCTGTTTAATTTTTCTAGGTGGCGCTGTCGAGTCATTTTGCCACGCCCACTTCAATATTGTTATGTGGATGTGTTCAAGAGATGACGTTTATCAACCATGTGAAGTTTCAGGCAGATCGGACATTGTGTGGTTGAGTTATAAGGACTTCCTGTTCCATGGCGAAGCGTTGAGGTTTGTCATACCGCCACGGACACACCCCTCTGCAAAAACTCTAGATCTTCACAATATATCATCGCTAGAGCTTTCAGATAACACCACTCAATTTTGGTGTTGATACGATAAAATTTGTGGGAGGAGTTTATAACTCCGTAAATCATGACATTTCCTGTGGCCAGCAGGTGGCGCTGTAACTGTATCTGGATATCGGCATGTAAACCTGATCAGGTCAGGACTCTTATTAAACATGTGAATTTTGAGGCAGATCTGATAATGCATGCCTGAGTTATAACGACATCCTGTTTTGTGGCGAATCGTCAAAGTTTGCGAGGCCGCCACGGACACGCCCATCGACGAAAACTCTAAAGCTTCGCAATTTAACATCGCCAAGGCCTTTAGATGACAAAACCCAATTTTGGTGTCGATCGGATAAAATCCCTAGGAGGAGTTCGTTAAAATACAACGCCTGGAAATGGCAAAAACGCCACTTTTTCGCCGCAGGAAGTTAAAAATATCCGACTTCCTGTTGGGTTTGAGATATGGCTCCCTGAGACTTTTTCGTATGTTTTGGCATGTTTGAGGTGTGTGCCAATTTTCGTGCATGTGCGTGATTCGTGGATCTGGGGCTCGTCGATTTAATTTTTCTAGGTGGCGCTGTCGAGTCATTTTGCCACGCCCACTTCCGAAGCCCATAACAAACGTAAATTTTCGCCACTTCTGAGGTGTGTGCAAAGTTTCGTGAGTTTTCGGGCAGGTTTAGCCCCTCAAAACTGCGATTCATTCCGCGGAAGAAGTCGGAAGAATAATAATAATAAACGGAGCAATTCCAATAGGGCCTTGCACCGTTCGGTGCTCGGTCCCTAATAAACAGAGCAATTCCAATAGGGCCTACGCACCGTTTCGGTGCTCGGTCCCTAAAAATACAAGAGAGCTATATCTGTACAAACAGAAACATTGAAGTGCCTGGTGCATAAAAGAGGAAGGAGCATTTCCTATAGACCTTTTTCTTGGCTGCTGCATGGAGGGCACCATAGCGTCCAGCGTCTTCCGGTAGAATGTTTAGAACTTCCGTTTACAACGTGTAATTTGCGCCCCGAAAATGGGTTTCAATGGGTTTCACATTGAGTGGATTACGGAGTGTTTTTGTGAAACACAACTTTGAAAGGTGTGTGTTAAAGCCGTTATAATCTGTCAGATGTGTTTCAAGCACGAGAGAAAAACGTTGTCCTATTCATGTGTGTTTCCTCGGCTTGTCAGCTGTTAGCTCAGCGGCTCTTCACCCCACACACACATACGCACGCACGCACGCACGCAATACTTCACTGCATATAGAGCAAACCAGATTACTGGCATGAAACTTAACAGGCATGTAAGTCATGCAATTTACAAAAATGACCAATAAAAGTCTGTTACTGATACTCTGCTGGCTGATTTGCTGTTCATTCTAATTGTGAGCCGTTTATGTTTCATTTAGTGTGTAGTATTTACCACGGTTTGTGTTTTTCTGTCATTTCAAAATGACACTTTATTTTCACTTTGTCAGTTATTAAATCAGTGTGTTAGTGGGACAGAACAGTGGGCTATGTGTTTGTCAAATATTTTGGTGAATTACATTTGTTTGGGTTGGTTAAATGTTTAAAAGAAAGAGAAAATGTTGACTTTAGCGATGACATTTAAACATTAGCAATTAGCATTTAAACAGCCGAAGATGCCGTCTGACAACGAGGGGAAATGCCCCGCAGCAGTTGTTTATCATCCCATTGGATCACATTTTTAAAAATGATCAGTCCAGGAGGTGGCCCTGATCGACAACAGTGTTCATTTAAAGATGATAAAAGCAGGTAAAATAGATTAACACTATAGTTTCAAAGCTGTCCGAATGTGACTGTTTACACCACAGGTGTCAAACTCAGTTCCAAAAGGGCCGCAGCTCTGCACAGTTTAGTTCCAACCCTAATTAAACACACCTGATCAAACTAATTGAGTCCTTCAGGCTTGTTTGGAACCTACAGGTAAGTGTGATGGAGCAGGGTTGGAACTGAACTGTGCAGGGCTTCGACCCTCCAGGAATTGAGTTTGACACGCGTGGTTTACACACTATCTCCCCAGGGTGTTCAAATGTGCATAAATGAGACCTTTTGTAGGAGAGCTCCAAAATAAAATGAAGTAATCTATATAATTAACAGAGTGTACTGTATTTTCGTCCTGTTCTTCAGGTGGAGCGAGGTTTCCGCGCGGTGCATGTTTCAGGGGTGGAGTTGAAGCACATGGGACAGCAGTCGATGGGTCACTATCCTGTCCACTTCCACATGAACGGGGATGTGGATGAAAAGGGAGGCTACAACCCGCCAACTTACGTCAAAGACCTGTCTATTCATCACTCCTTCTCCCGCTGCGTCACCGTTCACGGCTCCAACGGGCTGCTGGTGAGTTTAAAAGTCCCGTCAAGTGCTTTGAAATGAGCATTTTTTTATTCAGTGTTTGTCATAATCTCATCTGAAACATGAAAATAGGGTTGTAACAGGGGCGGACTTAGTGATTTTGGGGCCCTAAGCAATTCCAGCTAAGGAGTGATGAATTTTCAGCTTCATTACTCCAGTCTTCAGAGTCATATAAACCTTCAGAAATCTCTCTAATAATAATAATGATTATTATTATTGATGGTAATGGTGTTAAAAGCAGGGTGAGGCAGTGGCGCAGTAGGTAGTGCTGTTGCCTCACAGCAAGAAGGTTGCTGGGTCGCTGGTTCGAACCTCGGCTCAGTTGGCGTTTCTGTGTGGAGTTTGCATGTTCTCCCTGCCTTTGTGTGGGTTTCGTCCGGGTGCTCCGGTTTACCCCACAGTCCAAAGACATGCGCTACAGGTGAATTGGGTAGGCTAAATTGTCCGTAGTGTATGAGTTTTTGTGTGAATGCGTGTGTGGATGTTTCCCAGAGATGGGTTGCGGCTGGAAGGGCATCCGCTGTGTAAAAACTTGCTGGATAAGTTGGCGGTTCATTCCGCTGTGGGGACCCCGGATTAATAAAGGGACTAAGCCGACAAGAAATGAATGGTGTTAAAAGCAGTAACGACTGAAATAATTTTATTTGAAACTACATGCAATAAGAAAGCAGTTATTTGAAATTTGAATAAATATTATATTTTTTTTATACTTAAAGGAGCCTTTATCTTCCTAATGTAAAATTAAAAAAAATAAATTTACAAAAAAAAAAAAAAAACAAGTTCACAAACCATGTCATATTTCCACTTTTTTTCCCAATTGTACTTAATATTCTCACTCCTGTACACTTTACCTGCCTCTACTCTGATCGCTGACAGACTGGTGTCACTAAAATCACTGTGATCGTGAACAGCAAGAAAATAATAAACTGTACATTTAAAAGAATAAATTTAGAACAGGAAAAGCACATCGTTTTGACTGTAGCAGTGAAATACCTGATGCTCGCGGTGCTAAAACATTTACCGTTCATATACAGAGGAATGATCTGCTCTCAATACTGCAGGTGTGAGAGACTGCTGTGTGGCACTGTGCCGCCTTTGAGCGCTTTGAGGCGGGGGAGAGACCAACGACATCACCCGCAGCTCGTTGCTAAAAGTAATGTTAGGAACTGTTCATCAAGAACACATGAGGCTCTAAAAGCTCCAGTAACTCCTAAAACATTCGCTAGTCGCTTTTTTTAACAAGAGTTTAAAAACAAGAGGGAGTGGGGGGTCTGAAAAGTTGGTAAGTTGGCAACACTGGCTGGCAGTTTCTGTGATGAACTTAAAATCCTTAGTTCTTTATTTTGATGAGTCTATATGACTTTACTTATGATTCTTGCATGGTGGAATTTGTTTATTTCATTTTCAAACAGCAGGAAGCAAATCAAAAGTAGGACGTAGTTACGAGAATGAAAATTCACTCACTATTTACTCTCCTGCAAGTGGTTCCAACCTTTTATGAGATTCCTTTTTTCTGTTAAACACAAAAGAATATATTTTGAAGGATGTTAGAAAATGTCATATATGAACCGTATGAAAAATATGAAAATGAACCAGTGTTCAATATCCAGCTCGGGCATCCAAAATACTGTGTATTTAAGTGTAAATAACTTTTGTACAGTAGAATGAAAACCAAAGTGATGCAAATGTGCATAAAATATAGATTCTACAGTTTCAAATAAAATCACTTACGGAGGTCTGGTGCAATGCTAGCCATTTAAATCTCAAAGCGAAAGTCGATGACGTCACGGACCCGGTACGAGGTCCGCAGAGTTTAACTGTTAACTTCAATTAAATCTTATTTAAAATTTTACATTTAAATGTTTTTATTTTATGTGTTTAACAAAAAATAAGAAACTCATATACTTTTTAAACCACTTAAGAGTGAGTAAATTGTGAGTAAATTTAGATTTTTGGTGACACTATCCCTTTAAGAATAAACTATGCATAAACAAGACGTAGTGAGATTTTTGATGAAACATAACATGAGTTAAATGGTGAATGCTTGGCGGTCTTGTTTAAAACAGAAAGTCTACAGTGTATTCGCTGCCCTTTTTCCAGTAGCTGCTCATTTAGTCTCGCTCACCTGTCAATCAGCTGTCAGATCTGATTGACAGGCCACGCCTCTTCACTCTTTGCAGCATTCAAACTGAAACTTTAAGGATGGAAAAAGTCAGAGCAAGTCAGAAAACTCAGTGAACTTTTAATAACAAAGCAAATTTTACTACTGCTATGAATCTGTCTAAACTGCTATTAGCAACGTCTGATGAATTTGATTGATTGGTTGGTTAACCTGTCAGTCTTATAGCATTGTGGGCGAATCATGACCATTCAAACAGGCCAACGTTCCCATACTTTAGTGAGGTAGTGAGATAATTCTACGCTAAAAAAAATTAACTAACCCAACTGAAAAAAGTACTTTGCTTTTTAGGACTAAACCAGCTGTGACATGCATTTTGGGAAGCTTTTTCAAACTTTACCACAATTATGGCAGGTCACAGACAAATGTGAAGTTGTGAGGAGATCCGTACTGTCTGCTGACTTTTCCCTCACTCTTTGTTTATGTCTTTGTGTTGCACACATGAGTTTTCTAAGCATCTGACCAATCAAAAGGCAATTAAAAAAATTCCTCTAGCCAACGACTGATGTGGATGTTGCCACATGATTACTTTTTAGTTCATTTTAACTCATTCATCTCAGAGCAGTTAGTCTGATAGGAAGCAAAACCAAATCAGCTTAAAATGCTAGAATGTATAATTTCTAAACTTGGTCTGAGATAAAGGAAACGTACTACAGGTGTGAAAGCAACATGCAAACCAGCAGATGCGCTCGGCTTCTTTAAAGAAAGATGCATTATCAGAGCTCAGCTGAATCAGGAGTTCATTGTGTACTAGTCTGTCCTTGGCTGTTCAAACACTTCTCAAAAGATGCCGGAGCGCCGCCGTAAGCCGCTTTACCTTCTTCACAGGAGACCAGGTGAAAGGTTACGGTACAGCGAAGCTGCATTATTCGTTTGTGATAGCATGCCACGATTGTATTCTGCCGCCAGCAGGGGGGCAATGCCAACCTCAGAGCTCTGACGGGAATAACTCTTTGACGAGGGTTGCCTCTAATGCGTTTAACAAGGCTAAATGTTCTTTTCGCCCAGCGGTAGTTGTATCACACACCGAGGTAGTTTACAATTCACCTGATTCTTTGAAAGGATTAATGGAATTGCTTTCAATCGCCCCCAAAAAATCGTGTTTGTTTGCCAGCTCACACCGAGCAGATGATGTTTCCATCAGTGTTGAATGGGCTGGCAAAAAGTGCAGCGTTTCACCTGAGGCTTTCAGAAATGTGCATTCACAGCGGGGGGTTGAAAATAGAAGATAGCTGATGTCTTTCATAGAAAAGTCTTGTGGTGTTTTTCACGTCGTGTTGTTGATTATTATGAGCACTGCATGAAGGAATGGAAAGTATGAGAGCATCATTCAATCTTCCTCATGTTCCAGCAAACCTGTGCTGTGTGTTTCTTTACAGACAAAAAAGATATTATCTAGCTAAAAAATAAATCAATCAATCAATCAAAATTCTAGGAGTGGCTCTGTTACGCTTTTAACACTATTCTTTAAATGTCCAATTTGAAAACAAAGTGAAGTATATTTATTAATTCATTTCAAGAGGATCACGTGCTAATGATTGTCCACAGCTGGTCCCGCATTAGCTAACACATGTTTCACCAATCAGACGATTCCTAAATCACTATAAATAACCAGAGTTTCTTACCTCAGTTTCTTCGTCTTAAAGAATCCCCTCTCACTCCTCCCTCGGTTTTCTAGATTGAGTGACACGGCGTCCCAGTGATTAGCACTGTTAAATTTCTGCTCATGCAAATGCTGAATAGTTATTTTTACCCCAAAATGAAATCATCATTTACTCGCCCTCATGTTGTTCTAAACACAATACAGTTGTTCATCTTCGGGAAATAAAATGAAGTGTTTATAAGGAAATTTGAGAGATTTTATTCAACCAGCACTTCAAACCATTTATAAAGAGAAATGAAAAAAAACATTATGAATTTAAGTGGTTTTATCCACATGTATTCGATGAGCAGATTTGATTTAGGCATATACACTTTCCACCTATTTTATAAGGTACACCTTATTAGTACCAGGTTGGACTCTCTATTGCCTTCAGAACTGCTTTAATACTTTTTGGCATTGATTCAACAAGTCACTGGAAATATTCCTCAGAGATTTTGCTCCATGTTGACATGATAGCTTCACAAAGCTGCTGCAGATTTGTATGTTTAACATCCATGATGTGAATCTCCCATTCCTCCACATCCCAAGGGTGCTCCCTTGGATTGAGATCTCATAACTGTGGAGGCCGTTTGAGTACAGTACTGATTGTCATGTTTAAGAAACCATTCTGAGATGATTCACGCCTTATGACATGGCTCAGACTGCAGTAGATCGTCTTGACACTAGCTGCGCCCCAAATCGCATACTTATGCACTATTTTACGCCATTTTGTAGTATAAATAGTGCAAGTAGTGTGTTCACACTGAAAACTCTAAAAATAATAAGTGCACTTTAATTACCCGGATGATGCACTCATTCAGCCGGTAAAATGAAGTGTGGACTGAGGGACACTTCATGCACTCAACGACCGAAGGTTTGCTTACGTAGCGGAAAGGGTGGAGCTATCGGGCGGAAATGTTGGATAACTCTATTTATTTTGGATTATGAAAGCAAAATTCTCCTACCAGAGTGATTATAGCGCCTCCTGATGGTGAATGCAGTTATACTCACGGCAGGTGTTATAAGATAATTCGGTCATTTATTTCACTGATTTGGCAACCGTCAAACGTCATTAGTGTGCCATTTGGGATGACACTACATACATATACTATCTTGTTGAGTGTGTAAGTGCGTAAGTACATAGTGCATGATTGCATAGTGTATAGTGTGCCATTTGGGACGCAGCTCATGTCTTCATGCCTAAACGCATTGATTTGCTGCCCTGTGATTGGCTGATTAGAAATTTGCATTGAGCTGTTGAACTAGGCAGGTTAGGGTAATTATGCAAGTTATTGTATAACGATGGTTTGTTCTGTAGATTAACGAAAAAATGTATAGCTTAAAGGGGCTAATGTTTTTTTTTTCCCTAAAATGTTTTAAAAAAATTTAAAAAAAAACTGCTCTTATTGTAGCCAAAAATAAAACAAATAAGACTTTCTCCAGAAAACAAAATATCAGAAAAAAAAGATCTGAGATAGGCTAATAATTTTGAGTTCAACTGTTTATATATAAAATTAAAAAATGTAATATATAAATTTATTATAAATTTATTATATAATTAAAAAAACATGCACAGATTCAAAGAGAACCATGTGTCAACAGAGAGATTGCAAAAGACCAGCTTCTGCTTTAAACTGGACTGACTGAACATCTTCTGTTCAATATCTACTACTTAAAAATATACAATCAAATGTAAAATACAGTAAAACACCCTAAATCTTTTGAAACGTGTCGATCTGATGGCGGTTGAGTTTGCAGCTGGATATTATTGGGAGATGGCTGACAGAAACAGCGAACAGTTCTGCCAGAGCGCGTATGAAGCTCATATGTGAGTTTATTTTACAGTCTATGGCAGAAACACCACTAAGTCTTGCTAGATCCTCCTGTATAGACTCACTTCAATTAATAAATTGTTCAGACACAAAAATACTCAAAGAGAGACCTTCACTTCAAGCATAGTTTGTGAATGAACAGACTAGAGATCATGAGGTAATCGATCAGAGAACAGGAGAAAGTGCATTACTTCAGATCATTTTAATGTAGCATATTAATAATGAAATCCAAGAATTATAGTATAATATAGTGAGTTAATTTTCTCAGAGTCCACCTGCACGATCAATGGTCTACAGAACAAACCATCATTATACAATGACACCCTAACTTGCCTAACTAACCTAATGAGCCTAGTTAAGCCTTTAAATGTCACTTTAAGCTGAGCACTAGTCAATAGCAAATATTATTTACTGTCATCATGGCAAAGATAAAATAAATCAGTTATTAGAAATGAGTTATCAAAACTATTTTGTTTAGAAATGTGTTGAAGAAATCTTCTCTCTGTTTAACAGAAGGGGAAAATTATACTGAGGGAATTTAAATTGCATCAAAGCAGCTTAATCTTACACTGAATGAGAGTCAAAAGCTCATCATCTGGTGTTCTTCCTGCTAGGTGAAGGATGTTGTCGGCTACGATGCTTTAGGGCACTGCTTCTTCACTGAAGACGGTCCGGAGGAGAGGAACACGTTTGATCACTGTCTGGGTCTTCTGGTGAAGGCGAGCACACTGCTGCCCTCCGACAGAGACAGCAAGATGTGCCGAGATATAACCAACGGAGCTTTCCCGGGATACATCGCCAAACCGCGGCAGGACTGCAGGTGAAACATGTCAAATACGCAGAGAGTGGTTTAGATGTTCACCTCGTCTCAAATTCAGCATTTAAATTAGAAAAACAGCAAGACATTTGTGCTTATGACCGATAACTAATAATAAGTATGCATCTGAAATGATTTGATAAACACATCTGTAAATTAGCAGTTTTCCATATTTTGTAATTCATGTTTTTATATCTGCCAATTTATTTATGCTTTTGAAGTGCATTATGGGATCTTGATCTTTCTTCCAACAGCTTTTAACCTTAAAAAAGTGACTTTTATGAACATTTGTAAGAGTTTAAAGTGATGTATTGTGTGGTTTGGTGTTGTATATTACGCTACAAAAAGCCTGTAATAGACTGCCGGTACATTTTCTGCTATTTTACAGATTTTAATTATTTCCTATACATTATTTCAACTCAAAAATGTCAATAAAAGTCAGTTTGTTAAACTGTGGAGTTGGGTTTTTCAACATCAAAAGTCGACAAAGCAGAGATCAACATCCCATAATTCAATTCACAACAGTAAATAAACTGAAAACATTTGTGAATCACACACTATGGAAGCTGTTCATTTACAAATTACAGTGTAATTATGTGTTTTAAAATAATTGTTGACTGTTCATAAATGCCTAGGGCTATATAGTTTTAATTTTTATGTCATATTATTACACATAATTATGAAACACAGCATCAATTTCAGTGTTATTCACTGTTATTCACAGTGTTAGTCAGAATTATTAGCCCCCCTGAAATATTAGACCGCTTGTTTATTTTTTCTACAATTTCTGTTTAACGAAGAGAAATGTTTTCAACACATTTCTAATCATAATAGTTTTAATAACTCATCTCTAATAACTGATTTATTTTGTCTTTGCCATGATGACAGTAAATAATATTTGACTAGATATTTTTCAAGACACTTCTATACAGCTTAAAGTGACATTTAAAGACTTAACTAGGTTAATTAGGTCAACTAGGCAGGTTAGGGTAATTAGGCAAGTTATTGTATAATAATGGTTTGTTCTGTAGACTATCAAAAAAAATATATAGCTTAAAGGGGCTAATATTTTTCACCTTAAAATGATGTTTCAAAAATTTAAAACTGCTTTTATTTCAGTCGAAATTAAACAAATAAAAAAAAATATTCTCAATTCGACTGTATGTATAAAGTTCAACTGTTTGTATGCAAATGTATACATACATATATATATATATATATATATATATATATATATATATATATATATATATATATAGCATAAAAAATTAAGACTTTTTCTCTCCTTTAAGTATTTTCTGTTGAATTAATGTTTAATTAATCTCTTTATTAGTTTTGTTGTTTAAAAAAATTATTAATTAATTTCATTTATTTATATATGTATTTTTATACCTACATTCCAGCGTTCATTCGTATTTATTTATTTATTTGTTCAATTGTTTATTTATTTAATTTTTCGTTTGTTCAGTTAATTTGTTTCTTTCATTTTGTTTCGTTCTTTTCATTTTGTTTTGGTCGTTTGTTTGTTTCGTTCGTTTGTGTAACGCCGGGGAGTAACACCACAACAGATGGTAGGATCCAATATGCAGGTTTATTCACAGTCAGGCAAGCAGTGGTCAATACGGGAGCAAACAGGTATGTGAGGACAATCCAGAATCGTAGTCAGTTAAACAATCAAGAGGTCGAAAGGCAGGCGGCAGACAAGGATAACTAAATAAACAAGGCTAGGTTCAAAACAGGAAAACAAGACAAGGAAAACGCGTTGTAATGCTACTATACAGTGAACAAGACTCGGCAAACTGAAGGGGTGAATGTGTGGCTTAAATACTGTGTGTAATCAGTCTCTGAAAGTCCTCAGGTGTGCAAATGTAATCAAGCTAGATGAGTGAGCAGGTGTGTGGGTGAAGAGCATGTATGAAGTTGAAGTCCATTAACTGGCAGATTTGTAGTTTCATGACTGAGGGTTTACCAGCGACATCTGGTGGTTTGTTCACTGGTAAACATGACAGTTTGTTTGTTTGTTCGTCTGTTCATGCTTCAGCCAAAGCCTATTTTAAAGCAGGATAACTATTTTTTAGTTTTTCATTTATTCATTCATCTTCCATCAGTTTAGTCCCTTTTTCTGTTTGTTCATTCGTTTCGTTCGTATGTTTGCTTCGTTCGTTTAATTTGTTTCATTAGTTCATTTCGTTCATTCCGTTTGTTCATTTGTTCGTTCGTTCTTTTCGTTCATTTGTCTGTTCGTTCGTTCATGTATATTCATGCTTCAGCCTAAGCCTATTTCAAAGTGGGACAGCTACTCTCTTTAAGTTTTTCATTCATTCCTTCATTCATTCATTCATTTATTCTTTGATTCATTCATTCATCTTCCTGGCTTGGTCCCTTTTTTATCTAGGGTCTCCACAGCACATATACACACTCATTCACACACACTCATACACTATGTCCAATGTAATTAATACAGCTCAACTATAGCGCATGTCTTTGGACTGTGGGGGAAACCAAAGCCAACACAGGGAGAACATGCAAACTCCACACAGAAATGCCAACTGGCCCTGCTGTGATTCGAACAGGTGACCTTCTTGCTGTGAGGCAACAATGCTGACCACTAAACCACCATGCCAAATAGTTTTTGTTTTACATGGAAGCTTTCTACATATAAAACAAATTATGACATTTTTATTATTTTTCTGATAACTCTCATGTGATTTTTTTTAAACAACCAGGTAAATTTTCACAGTATTTCATAGTTAGTTTTTATAATTTTCTTTTTTTTTTTTTTTGGAAAATCTTATTTCTTTTAGTTTAGCTGCATTAAAATAAGTTTTATATTTTTGCAAACAAATTTCAATATTTTTCAATAAGCCGAATATTATTACCCTATTTAATAAATGATATATTTGTCAATTGGCTTAAGAACAAACCACTGTTATCCAATTACTTGCCTAATTATCCAAACTTGCCTATTTAATTAACCTAGTTAATCCAAATAGTCTGCACTTTAATCTGCATACTAGTATCTTGCAATATGATTAGTAAAATATTATACACTGTCAACATGGCAAAGAATAGAAAAAATGTTATTAGAAAATAGCTATAAAACAATCATGTTTTTTTTCAGAAAATCCGCTGTTGAGAAATATTTTTTCAATAATTTAAATTTTACAGGGGGGTGGCACAGTGGAGTTTGCATGTTCTCCCCGTGTTGGTGTGGGCTTCCTCCAGGTGCTCTGGCTTCCCCCAACAGTCCAAAGACTGAGCACTGAAGATGAATTGAAGAAACTAAATTGGCCGTAGTGTATGAGTGTGAATGTAAGAGTGTATGGGTGTTTTCCAGTACTGGGTTGCAGCTGGTAGGGCATCCACTGTGCAAAACATATGCAGGAAAAGTTGGCAGTTCATTCCGCAGTGCCAACCCCTGATGAATATAGGGACTAATCCAAAGGAAAATGAATGAATGAATTTCACAGGGAACTAATAATTGGATCTTCAATTGTATGTACACTCACCAACTACTTTAGTAGGTACACCTTACTAGTACCAGGTTGGACCCCATTTTACCTTCATCGTACCATGCCAAATTCTGACCCTACCATCCGAGTGTGGAAGCTGAAACCAAGACTCATCAGAGCAGGCTCTCTAAAATATCAAATGTTTCTTAGATGATTAAAGACTAATCTTTGATTATGTTTTGTTTATTTCAATGTAATATCCTCAGCAACAGCTACTGTAAATGTCTGTCATATTGCTGTTCAGAATTCATTCCCAGTGTTTGGTAAACTAATCTCAATACTGTACTACTTCTTAAGCGAAATCAAGCAACTCTAATTTTTGGCATCGTTAAGAGAGATCATTATTCCAGTTTCATTCTGTGGACTCATTCCTCTAACAAAACCCCTTTCTGCTTGTTTTCTTACTCTCGCTGGTATTCTTTAATCAAGGCTTCCTCTTAAGAAAGCATCAACACAACATGCGGTCGAGCTGATGATGGTTTCCGCCCGTGCTCATTATCGCGTAATGAGTTTTATCCTTAGATGCACTCGCATTCCTTGAACCTCGGATAATCTCGGCTAATTAAAATAACAACATTACCACATTAAGAAGGCCTGCTAAACTCTGGCAGCAGCAACTGTCTGGGTTGGGAAAGCTGGGGTTGGGTGTTGACAGAAAATATGTTTAATTTGAACTGGGAACGGCTTTGAAGTGTGGTTTTGTGCGGAGCGTTTGGGTGAGGTGAATACTTATGCAATTCAATCCCTCATTTTTTTTAACGAGCTGTAGTTACACCAATAAAAATTTGTACCACTGAGACACAAACACATAAACTTGCAGGAAGGAAATGCTTGTGACTTATTTTGTTTTGTATTTGCGACTTGGATAATTATCTTTATACAAACACCTTGCGTTTAGGATGAATGAAGATAGACAGTTTGTCTGATAGATAAATAGACAGGGGGTTGGATGGATGGATGGATGGATGGATGGATGGATGGATGGATGGATGGATGGATGGATGGATGCATGGATGGATGGATGGATGGATGGATGGATGGATGGATGGATGGATGGATGGATGGATGGATGGAACGGATGAACAGACAGATAGATGGATAGATGGATGGACTGAGAAAAGGTTGGATGAACAGATACATGGATGGATGAATAGATGGATGGATGGAAAAATGGATGGATGGACAATTGGTTATACCAACGAATAGATGGATGGATAGATGAACGGGTGGCTGAACAGAAATAGATGGATGGATGGACGGACGGACGGACAGACAGATAGATAGGCAGATAAAAAGATAGATGGATGGACAGATGGACGGAAGAACTAATGAACTGATGGACAAACGGAGGGATAGATAGATAGATAGATAGATAGATAGATAGACAGACAGACAGACAGACAGACAGACAGACAGATAGACGGAGGGATAGATAGACAGACAGACAGACAGACAGACAGACAGACAGACAGATAGACGGAGGGATAGATAAATAGATAGACAGACAGACAGACAGACAGACAGAGGGATAGATAGATAGATAGATAGATAGATAGATAGATAGATAGATAGATAGATAGATAGATAGATAGATAGATAGATAGATAGATAGATAGATAGATAGATAGATAGATAGATAGATAGATAGATAGATTGGAGGATGGATGGATGGACAGACTGACGGACAATCGGATGGATGGATGGATGGATGGATGGATGGATGGATGGATGGACAGACTGACAGACAATCAGATGAATGGATGGATAGATAGATAGATAGATAGATAGATAGATAGATAGATAGATAGATAGATAGATAGATAGATAGATAGACAGACAGACAGACAGACAGACAGACAGACAGACAGACAGACGGACGGACGGACGGACGGACGGACGGACGGACGGACGGATGGATGGATGAATGCACATATTACTGTTTAAAGAGACACAGGAAACTTCTCCAGGTTCAGCTACAGTGTAGTCAGTAATAATGATTAGGTTATGAATGGACATGTGCTAAATGTCAGGCGTGTTTGTTTATGCCTGTGATGGCAGAAGTGGGCAGTAATAAGATGCTGTACAATCTAATCAGTCTCTCTCTCTCTCTCTCTCTCTCTCTCTCTCTCTCTCTCTCTCTCCCTCTCTCTCAGTGCCACCTCCACCTTCTGGATGGCGAACCCCAATAACAACCTCATCAACTGTGCGGCGGCAGGATCTGAGGTTAGTCTGGTTTCCGTGGCGGTGGCTCTGATTAATGCCGCTGCACTCATCATCTACACCTATCCTGCTT